CAGGGGAAGCGGCAGCCTCTTCCCCGCGCCGGTGCTGCCCACGCCCGCGGGGGGCAACGCCAGCGAGTGCGAGTGCCACGAGTGGCACTACCGTATCAGAGCCGGCCTCGTGCAAAACGTCGTCAGCAAGGTGAGGAAAGCATCCTTTTTTTGCCCCCCGCCGTCCAGTCCTCACGCCCTCCCTAGTACCGCAGCCCCCTTGGGGGCCTGCTGTGCCCAGGCAGAGGGGAGTGAGGCACCCCGGCACAGATGGGGTCCATCTGTGCACGCTGCGGCCTGACAGCGACACGGGGTCGGTCATGGCCCCGGGAGTTGCCTGGAGTATATCCCGCTTGGAAAGCATCCTTTTTTTGCCCCCCGCCGTCCAGTCCTCACGCCCTCCCTAGTACCGCAGCCCCCTTGGGGGCCTGCTGTGCCCAGGCAGAGGGGAGTGAGGCACCCCGGCACAGATGGGGTCCATCTGTGCACGCTGCGGCCTGACAGCGACACGGGGTCGGTCATGGCCCCGGGAGTTGCCTGGAGTATATCCCGCTTTCCTCCCTTTTGTCATACGAGGCCTCCTCGGGGTTTGTACCTGGGTGCTGGTCAGGGTGCTGAGCTGCAAAGTTGTGTCCCGAAAACAGATCCTTGGTGGCTTTTCATGATCCCAGTGATGGCAGCTGTCACAGTGGCTCTGGAGCACGGGTGTCTCTTTGGTAGCCCCCTGGGCACATGTCCTGTGGACAAACGCTGAGGGTGCATGCGAGGGTTGTGAGCCGGTAAGAGAAAAGGATCTTGGAGGAAGCTCAGGTTGTTATATTGCTCATCCTTGTACGAGTATGATGAAGCTGGTATACAACTCAAAAATCAGGTTGACTTTCTGGGAAAGCTCACGATTTAAGGAAAAACAGACAAAGTTTTGCTCAATTCTTGCTATTATGTACTTATCCCCTTGATAATGCTTTCAGTAGAGTGATAAAAGAAGAAATGTGTCTTACACAAGTTGTACTTCAGAGGCAGAAAGTACACGCTGCTCTGCTTTGCGTTTCATAATGTAAGGCTAAGGTGGAAAATTTCTGGTGAAGAAGGCTGTGCTGCTTTCTGCTGTTATTTGCTGTATTTGCTTGAGTAGCGCATGCAAAAGAATGCTTTGTCTTTTCACCTGAGAGGTTTTGGTGCTCCCTGCCAGCAGCCATGTGAAAGCCATGCCTACCGTGTATGGGCCTCATCCATATTAACCAGCAACTGTAGCTCTTGGAAATGTAAAATGAAACTGTTACACCATGAAAGTTGTTTCCTTAATCTCAAACCCCCCAAGCTCAGCAAAAATTAGTTCCTGCATGGGAACAGTGTTTTGGATTAAGTGTGCTTATCTAGTTGGGAAAAAGAAATGCAGCAATAATCTGATGACTAGCATGATTGTGCTTTGGTCAACCAGCACGCATTCATATGCATAATTACTGAAAATTATTTAAGTTTCTCTTTGTGTCCCTTGAAAGCATGTGCACCGGTGGAAAAAAATAAGTAAAGGAAATCCTCCAAAAATATCAGTCCAGAATGGATTTAAAAGCCCTGCTTACACCCCTTCCATGAGAAAAATGCAGGCACATGGTGAACTTCTAATGGTTTGTGGTGTAAAAGTGCATAATGGGATTTGACATTTAAGAGAGGCAGATTGTCTTCTGTTTATAGCTAGAGACAGCTATTCTTATGTTTTAGGGCTTAACACTGATGATGCAGGCAGGAGAAAATGGTCTTCAAATATTTCTTTTTAGTGTAAACTGTAAAATTTTTTTGAAATGTTGAAAATCTTTTGAAGGTCATCACCAAGTTAGCCATAAAAGGTCGAGATTTAGTTTGCTGTCTTGCATGCTATAGTGTTTTTTTTTTTTTAATTAAAAAAGTATTCCTTGGAAGAACTTGCAGTAAAGGGCAGATCAATTTTAATGGATATATAAACAGCTGTGGTCCCTGCTGTCTTGTTTTGTATTAGAAAAGAATAATAATCATCCTTTGAGAGACTGGTTTCTTTTTTTTTTTTCAGTGTAGAGTTTTTATTTTTTGTATATGTTTGCTTCCAAAAACTTGGCAGCTCTTTCTCTTTGATTTGTAATCCCATATAATTATAATTAGGTTGTTTTCTCAGGGTCAGGATTTCTCCTTAGTTTGTTTTTGTGTTTGGTTATGGGGTTTTTTTTTGGGTGGGTGTGCTGTCTGTTTTTATCCTGATGAAGAAATAGAGGAAAAACCCAAACAGAACATCAATCTAGCTTGGTTCAGTCTTCCACTTCAAATATTGCAGGAGCAGTTCGCATAACTGCTAACTCTTCTTACATACCTCCCACAGTCCTTTGTGAAAAAGAGCTGTACTGATGAATTCAGAAAACTGGATGTTCAGATCTGCCTGAACTCCCCTCAGAAATAGATTTGTTTCTGTAATGTATTATGCAATGTTCTCATCTTTCTAAATAGAATTTTATTAAATCTTAGTCTAATATATACTCATCTGTGTAGTAGCCAGGGGTTATACTGAAATATCATAAAGAGAGCCAAAAGTATGTTAATAAAAAATGCACTTTTATTTGGCCAGTAAATACACTTGTTCTCATCTTCAGTGGTTCAAGCTAATCACTGATGAATGTTCTGTTGCTTTTTTTTTTCCTTTTTGTCTTCAAAAACAATAAAAACAATTCTCATTATTTAGTGCAACGCTTATTTCCTGGTCTGTTTTGTTGATGTATGTGTGCATGAAACGTTGCTACCTTCTGTTCCTCAGGAGTAGGTAGCTGTCCATAAACTATGATGATTTTCATTGTCTCTGTAGCCTCTCTCCTAATGCCAACCTTCGTCAGATGTTGCCTTTTTGTCCCTGTTTTTTTCAGCTCTCTCTCCCCTGGTGCCTTTTTCTTCTAGCCTGTGTCATGCTTGGGATTCACAGAGTTGAGGTCTTGCCGTTTCTAGCCCTGCTCGGTGGTTTGTTTAGCCCTGCTTCTCCTTGAGTCTTTACTGGAGCCAAAGGCGGCCTTGCACGTTTCTTGAAGAGCGGCATTGCCATGCTGAGCTCTGCCATTACCCGGATCCCCCTGAAAGAGTCCTTGGGAATGTTGCTTTTTATAGTGCTGCCAGTCATTAGAACTGGAAATGGTAATAAAGGACATACTGCTTATTATTTAAGACTGTTGAAACACATACAGTGAAGAGGTCAGATGCATAATTTAACCACAGGAATTCCAGTGGCCATATTAAATCACAGATCTGAGCTAATGTCCTGACTTCATACATAAATCTTGGACCTCAGCTTGGTTCAAATTTAAATATCTTCCTCTGCAGCAATTCACTTTTGCACTGCTAAATGTTTCTTTCAGGATTCACTATGAACACCGAGTGCGTATCATTTGTGCGCTGTGTATCCTAAACTACTCTTCAGGCAAAAGGCTGGTGATAAAACCTGCTCTTGATGCGGTGCATCTATCTCACCTATCCAAAGGAAGGATGCTGAGAAATACTCTCATTTTTGCAAAGGGGAAACCAAAGGTCTCATTTTGCCCACTTGCTAAGTGATAGTTCAGGTAAATTCTTAGCATTAGCGCAAAATGCAGCAAAATCACAACTAAAATTAAATGGCTGTGAAACCGAGCAAGAGGTTGCAGTGTGTATTCAGCAGAGACTTTTGAAACTCTCTTGCTGACCTCTTTCATGCCTGGATCTTCTAACCCTCTGCAAAGTCATCTGTAATCTTGGGGCAAAGTTTCCACAGAAGCTCTTAGCTACAGGATTGATGATTGCTATTATATTCCTTTACTAGGATGACCTGTCCACTGCATTCAATTGCTTTATGTGGTGGGGTTGTTTGATATTCTGCATGCTAATTTGTCTAATGGACACCAAAAGCTGATGACGGGCAACAACTGAGACTTGATTGAAGTGTAGCAAACGATGGCACAGCATCCCGCTGTGTGAGTTTCCAGTCTTTGAGATCATTCCCCCTCCTGAGGGTGGGGTAGTTGAAGGCTGCTTTTTAATTGCGCAGAACAATTATGTAATAATATTTCATGTTTAGCCACAAGGGAATCCCTGTTGTGGCTGCTTTGCTGCTCCAGATGCCTTATTTTGCTGCAGTGCTGTTCCTCTTGGCTCTTAACTTCCCACTTGATTTGGATTGAGTCATCTTCTTTCCCGAGTAACGTGCCATGATTTTACCTATTTGCCACTGGTTCGGTCTTTCTCGTTCCAATCTGGCTTAGCCTGTAGCAACCTGTCCCCTCCAGTAAAGAGGAGCTTAATTTGGAAGAAAAACCCAGGTAGGGCTGCTGGGCAATGAGCATGGGGCCGTTCTGCTGTGCGGTGAAGCTGTATCGGTTCAAGCTGTGATGTGATGCACTTTGCCCCTGGTGATACCTGTGCCCTACCAACCTCCGTTTCCTCTCTTTTAAGACAAATTTGGCATTTTTCTGGCCGTATCTTAAGCTGATTCAGCTTGCTAACCTGGCAGAAAACTTTGTTTTTAAATACTTTTTTTTTTTTCCCAGGGGAGTTTTTTGATTGGATTAATGAGGTGAAATGGCTCTGTGCAGTGATATCTGCCCTAGACTGTGGTTTTGTCTCATGGGATTATTGCAGGTACCTGCAGGTAACCATAAACATTACTACAAACAAATCCCTGCCTGATGCAGGGGTGACAAATTCTGCACTGCTTGCAGGGTGGTGTTTCTTGGGATAGAGGACAGGTGTGCATTTCAATATCCGAGCGTGCTTTCAGAGTACAGTTGTTAATTATTTCAAAGGGATCACTCTGACAAAGTACTTCCTAAGCTAACAGCCATGCTACCCTTCCCAGGCCTAAATGGGAGCATTTTTTAAAATCCTTTCTATGTATCCTGTAGTTGGCTGGTCTCTGAGAAAAGAGTCCAAAAATGCAGATATGATATACTGATCCTTTTCTTCTTTCCTGCAACTGCTAGGATTTGCCTTGTCCATGTTAGTTCCTGGCTGATTAGCTTCTACTTAGTCCCAATTCTATTAAAACCCTGAGTTATTGTGCCCAGTGCAGTACTTTGGTCAGAAGTGGCAAGATCAAAGCTAGTATATCACACATGCCCTACTACTACTAATTTTATGGCTTCCTCAGCTATGGAGAGAGATGCCAAACTT